GTTGGTCTGGGTTGTAAAGAAGGGGAAATGCTCAGAAGGTCAGTGCGTGCTGACAATGGAGATGGGTAAGAAGTATGCCAGCTGAAAGTGCAATTGGTGACAGCAATGCCACATCAGTTGCTTCTGAACAGGCTGAAGAGCCTATATAAAAGGCACAGAAGGACGTCAGCGTGGCCATGCTTCTAACAATCCACAGGAGTGCTCCCCAAACAAGCACTGTGCTTTGCGTGGTGTTCGTGAATAGTATAACCTATGGCATCACACACAAAATGCCTCAACTCAGTACCAGCAAGGTGTAGCTCACTAGACACCTATTGTGAAGCCTGCAAGGCTTTGCAAATCCAACGGCAGAGAACTGAGCTTGGCCAGAGATGCAGACACTGAAACAGACACTCTCAGTGTCATGTGGCAGAATGGAAAGGGATACAAACTACGGTGGCCAGGAGGGTTCATGTGGGAGTTTACCTAGCTTCCTATCAGCCACCCTCTCCTGGTTGACTTCTTGCTAATCCTTACTACGTGGGAGTAGTTGGTACATGAGTTAGCTCTGGCTTCCATTTTATATAAAGAAAGGTTTGCTTTAAGAAAAGATTAATACCAACTGGCAAGCATGCTGGGCAAGGAAATATAGTAACCACGGGCACCAACAGTCGTATTTCTGGGGCAAAAACATCAGGCCCCAGAGCCTCTGCAGTTTTAATAAAAAGTATCTCTCATTGTATGATGAGGGCACACCTGGCCCCAAGCTCTTTTTACACCCCCCCCCCCAACAATTGTATTTGTTTTTTGTAAGCACTCTGGGCTAGAGGAAGTGGATGCCTACTGACCTAGATATACAAAATAGGTAAAGTATTTCAAAAGTATTCTGGAGAAAGATAAAAGAAAAAGGGAGCTCGTGGGATGACTCAATGGGTAAAGTCTCTTGACACAACAACTGAGGTGTTTGTCCTCCTGGACACACACAGTAGGACAGCAGGCATCTGAAAGCTATCCTCTGACCTGCACGTTATGCCATGGCACGTGCATACACACACGTCTCTACACACACCCACAAAATAAATAAGTGAAATCAGAAATTGTAAAGAAAATAAGTAATCAGGTACAATACAGGGTGGACAAGAAAGTATTCTGGCTTCCAGTAAGTCAACTGATTCAAAGGCACTGAATCACCAAAAGCACTCCAGATTATTGAACGCTCATGTGCCAGGGTAAGATGGTGACGGCTAAGGAAACCACTGGCCCGAGGGTAGACCTAGATGGCCTGGAAAGGACAATTGTCATCATTATGGGTGTTACTGAAAGAGACATTTCCTTCTACAAATGTGCAGAAATGTAATGAATAGGATGTCCAGGGAAAGTCTTTCGGGTAAATAGTTCTAATCAAGTAGCATAAAAATAGTTCCATAAAAATGGAATATCCTCTCAAAGCAAAGAAAGCAAACAACTTCCTTGTGAACCTGACTTCGAAAGCAATTCTACTACACCACTTGCTGCAATTTTTTTCCCCATCAATAACAGATTTGGGCTTGTTTGATCGACATATTACTCTGCCTTTCCAGTTCCTCTCACTTCACGAGACTCATTCCTAAAGTTAATTTGGTGTTTGTTTTTTAAAGATTCACTAGAGACATGGGGAACCTATCATGCCATCCTAAAGCAACTTTTAAACAAAATCAATATTCTCCCCTCCCCTATATACACACTCACTAGCAAATAAGAGAATTCATGTTTCTTTCACTGTTTCTGACACAATCCAATGTTACATGGTTTTCAAACATGTTTGAACCAGAAAGGGAAAAAAGCATGCTCCAGGTGAGGCACAGAATCATGTTACATGGTTTTAATTGTTCAGTGAAGGAGTTTTTTCTTTTAAGTCTGAAGATATCTATGACAAATTATTGTAATTTTAATACTCTAAGTATTCTACTGATACATTACTCATAACAGCATAATCTTAGTGTCATTACTTAAGCTTGTTATGAAGTCTACAAATTAAAGCAACTTTCCAGAACGTCTTGAAACAGGATTATCTAATAAGCCATAGTTATGAGACACCAGCACTAAATATTATGAATTCTTTCCTCTTGCTGGATATAAATCATAGCTTCACATTTCTTTCCTCATTCCCAAACGGCAGAAGATAATCACGTATTATACCTGAACATGTATAATGGGGGTCTGTCCGGGGCTGTTGACATGCTGTGCCTCATGGAACATGATACCAAGCAAAACTACATGATATTTCAGTTTGATTTCAATAAGAGAAAAGTATTTGATTTTCTGTAATAAGCTGAAAAGATCCAACCGTGCAAGTAGAAACAAAACCCACCCATCCATGCATCACAGACTTCTACTAAGTAAACTTCACAGAACTCATCTTAGCAAGTGATACCGATAATGATGTATTTGAGTCTATTTTATATGGACCTTTCTTCTTTCGTTAGTGTATTTTGTTTAGGATACAAGGATTTGATTGTGACACTTTCACGTATGTGAATTGCTCTGTTCTGCATTGTGTTGATTTGCTCCCCTGCCTTCCCCACCCTGCTTGTCTTCCTTTTCCCCATGTGTTTTCACATTTTATAGACCCAGTTGCCCTTCTTTGTCCTTATCCCCCCTCTCTTTGGCTCACTTACTCCCTTCTCATAGTTTTTCATATGCAGAGAGCTTCATATATAAATAAATACACACATACATACATACATATAATTCTAGTTTTTATATACTAGAGAAAATGTCTTTTGTCTGTTTTATTTCTTTATGAATGATGTTCAGTTCCACCCATTTCCCTGCAAATGTCGAGATTTTATTCCTCTGTATAGAGGAATAAATGTGTATGTATCCATCATTGATATTTCCACATTGTCTTTATCCATTCACTTGTTGCTGGGCACTAGACTGGTTCCATATCTTGGCTACTGTGTCTACTAAATCTCTCTGAGCAGCTGTCTCTGTGGTGTACTGACACAAAATCTTTCCTGTATATACCTGAAGGAGTGTATATAGCTCAATCGTGAGGCTATTTCTATTTTTAAATATTTTGAGGAACCTCCATCCTGATTTCCATAGTAGCTTCCCAAGTTTACATTTCCCCAGGTAGTGTATACAGATTCCTTCCCCCCGTCCCCCCGCCCCCACCTCACCAGTACTTGAACTGTTTAATTATTGCAGCACTGTTCTGAAATCTGCTGGTCTGTGTCTGCACACTTTATGTACAGAGGCTAGGATTTGGACCAGAAAATGTTCGACTTAACGCCGGTCCTCATTTTCCTATTGGGTCGCAAATTTCTCTGTACAACTGAGGAGTTCATTCTATCTCCCTAAAAATGCAACAACTCAAATACTTCGTTATAACTTCTGAGACCACGAGACCCCTAAAATAGATCATATACCCGACCATTTGATAACTGAACAAAAGCAACATACTGTTGTTGCTTCAGAACTCTAGACAGTTTCATGGTGTCATCTTCTATCTCTTTTGATCACCACAGCTCTTGACAATAAAGTACCCGATGTGATCTTTTCTGAAGAAAAAAACAGTATTGCCAGTTTAGAAAAAAAGCAGCAGATTGTGCTTACATTAGGATGAACTGAGACACAAAACTGCTTATCTTTAAGTGCCTCAACAAGCATGCAACAGGAAGGTGAACGCTGCTCCTACCAAGAATCACTGTTGGAGAGCTGATCCTAAGAAACCACTATGAAAACGTAAATGGAGGCAATCTATATTCCTTTAAACCCAGCCAGGTTTCAATATGTTGGAAGCCAAGATACATCCAGCCACTTAAGTGAGCTGGACAACTCTCCGGCTTACTTCAGAAGATGTAAACTGTTTATCAAATTTAAAACGAAGGGACGACTATGTGAACCCCAGAGGGGGAAAAAAAAAAGGTTCAGGAAACCAGTACCCTAGAATCACGTGAACACACTTAGAGGCAGCCCAACACACACAGAAGTCACTTAAAGGCAACTCTTAGGACCCAGGACAGGCTGTCCACTCAGCTAGGCCCAGGAGACTGTTGTGACGCCTGGATATTGCCTTCCAATGGGTTACAGTCATTATAACAAGAGAAAGGCTGCTAATGAGCAGTCAGTCTCTCGCACCCTGCATGCAGGCACGCTTTGCTGAGGCCCCAGCAGCCTCTGGAAGTTTGCAGTTTGCATTCTCTAGGGATTTGAGCTGCTTTCCCTCCCTGGAGGAGGAAAGCCCAGATGAGGCCACAAGCTGGAGGCTGTAGGTCCTAGCGTCTGTCCCTGTCTTGCTACTGGTTGAGGGAGGCCACACAGCTTCTCAGGACTGGCAGCTCGGCGTGGGAGACAGTCGCCCACGCCTTGCACGGCCCCACTGAGGGCCCCCAGCGCCCAGCCAGAGCTGCTCCAGTGGACCACCATCACGCCCTGGGAGTCCCTTCCTCGCTTCTCCCCAGCGTGGGAACCGTGATCTTGCTTCCCAGGGCTGGGCAGGACTCCGGGAGGGCGTGGGAAAGGATTCGGCCAAGGCTCAGCACAGGGCCGCCTGCCCTGTGAGCCCCCGGGCCCGCGAGGACACCGCGATCACTTACTCAGTGGCTTCCAGACCTGGGGACCGAGGTTCGTGACCTCCCGCAGCTGCAGAGCACACCCGCACACACAACCGCACTGGATCGTAGATGGAGGGCGGCGGCGCTGGCGGTGGACAGAGAGGTGACGCTGGAGTCACACCTGTCGGTCTGGTCTCCGCTCGGGTTCACCATGGGCACTCACCGCCACGCCGAACACAGCAAGTGCCTTCTGTCCACCTACCGTAAGGGCGCGGCGGGACGCACGGAACACCCCCAGCGCCCGTTGCCCACGTTACTCGAAACAGTTACTTCTCGCTTTTGTTTCTCCCTGTCACGACCCAAAGGATTCTCCTGTGTCCCTTCCCTACAGCACAGGACTTCTTTCCACATCTTGGTGCCATGCCCCTTCCCCTTCTCCAGCCCAAAACACTAGAAAAGCGAGTCACAGCGCAAACTCACCATGGTGCGGTCATGCGAGGTCAGGGCCACCGGGGCACCGGGCTGCAGGTGTCCTAGCTCGGCTGAGTCCCCAGGCTGTGCACTGCTGTGCTGTCTTGGGGTCTGGCTGGCAGACACTGGAGGAAGACTGCCTGGAAGGCTGCGGGTGTGAGAAACCCGCTGCTGCTCCGAGTCCCTCCCACTCCTCCCAGGCTCAGCTGGAGAACTGAGTCCTGCTCCCCGCCCAATCGCCAGCCTCCAAACCACTAAAGCCAGACACACACATCAGGGTAGGCTACAAGGAAGAGAAAACAAAGGAGAGACTCTAGGAAAAGTTGGCACATTAAAAACAAAATGAAAACATCTTGTCTACTGCATGCTGGTACAGAACCACTGTAGTTTCCGTAATTCGAAACTCCAACTCTTTTGTGGGAAAGTTTCTCTCTCTTTGGTTGGCTTTGGTGGACAGGTTTTCGGGTTTGAGGCCGATCTACTCCTTGTGAAGATAATTTTGTGGTCACGGAAATGTAATTTCTTTTGACTAAGGTCTTGCCTCTATTTGGTTCACTACACAGTTCTAATTTCTATTAATACACATATATGTACAAAGCTGTTCTTGTATTTTTTTAAAATCATTCACACGCGCGCATGCGCGCGCGCACACACACACACACACACACACACACACACACACACACACACACACATCCCCCACCCCCCCATACACACACTATCCAATTACTCCTGGTGTCTTCTCAATCCTTCAACTCCAAGAAGTCTAAGACAAATAGGTCCTGAGTGTCTCTTGACATTTCTGCTTCCTGACTCATCATCTACTTTGGTCCCACTGAGGCTCTCCGTTTTGGTTTTGCCTACTACATAGTAAACATCAGTAAGAATCGGCATAAAGAAAGGATGAAAGTGGGAAGAAACAGAATTAGACAGAAATGCCAACACAGCTACAGGAACCAGGGAAATTTTAGCCTTAAGATCCAGCTGACCCCGGATGGATAGATGGTTAAGAGCACTGGCTGCTCTTCCAGAGGACCTACGTTCAATCCCAACACCCACATGACAGCTCACTACTGTCTGTAACTCAATTTGCAGGGGATCTGGCATCCTCACATAGACAGACATGCAGGCAAAACACCAATGCATGTAAAATAAAGATAAATAAATTGTTTTTTTTTCCCAAAAGATCCAGCTAACCCTCATAGCTCCTTTGCTGGTTGATGGTTCAGGCTTTATTGTTCTCTTGTCATGTCATAAACTTCTCTTACTCCCAAATTAACCCTCTTAGATCAGTAGAAAAATCTATCCTCAGACTACTTTGAGCTTAAGACCGAGAAGGATACAAAAATAGATCTCATAGTGAAAAGGAGCCAGCCCTATTAGTTTTAAAGTAATCAAATTATGTGATCCTTCAGAGGAAGAGGAACATTGCTGTGGTGGACAAAGTATTTCTGAAAGGATGGTGCCAATGTTGGCTCTTGAAGAGCCCCCTCATGTTTAGAAAAGGATGATGGGGAAGGGCCAACTGGGTACTAGCAGAGGACACTGAACTAAGACTCATGAGCAGGTGGGAAGGTAGGGCTACAGTGGCCAGGGAATAGGACAGACACCACCGGGTAGAAGCTAAACGTGAGTAAAGGAAAAGTGTAGGAAGGGGCAGAGGGCACAGGACAGTGTCTCCACTGTGCTGTGAGGGTCATGTGAAGACTCCTGATGCTACCTTACACTGACATCGCTCTTTCCCATGCCCTCTCCTTTCAGACACACTGCCTGCTGAGCTGAGCCCAGAAGGGACATTTGATTGTTCCTGAACCTTCAGGTCTGTTCTGACACATGGGTGGCAAGTACTAAAATCCACTTCGCTTCATTCTGTGGAGAATAGGGAAGTCACAACCATTAAACAGAAATGCTAGCAAAGACAAGGTCTCAGTGCAAAGCAAGCCCTCTGTAACCTCTTGGGCCCTTGCAGAAAGTATAAATAATGTAAATAGACCCATTACATGCAATGAGTACATGAAGACATATTCAAAGGTGAAAGGTTAAGATCCAGTGTGAAGCTTCAGTTTCAATTGTCTATTCTTACCATAGAGCAGTTTGCTATGAGGACTCTTGGTTTGGTTAATTTTGCTGCATTTTCTTTTGTTTTCAAATTCTTTATAGTGAAATTTTAATGAAAAAACATGAAGATTTAAAAGAAGAAAGATTTATAGAACCCAGCAGTGAATCTATCTGGTCCTGGGCTTTCTTGTAAGAGGAAACTTTATATTAGTTTCAATTTCAATGTCTGGATGGGCCTATTATAATTATTTATATCTTCTGGCTTTGATTTTGATAGATCATATGCATTTAAAAAATCTGCAATTTCTTCTAGGCTTTTTGGAGTTTAAGCTTTCAAAATATCCCCTCATGAGGTTCTGCATTTCGCTGGAGTCCCTTATAAGGACCCTGTTTTCTGCTGTGGGATGTTCTGTATGGCAAATGTTTTGCTCTGATTGGTTAGTAAATAAAACACTGATTGGCCAGTAGTCAGGCAGGAGGAAGTAGAGGTGGGACAAGGAGAAGAAGAATTCTGGGAAGTGGAAGGCTGAGTCAGAGAGACACTGCCAGCCACCGCCATGACAAGTAGCATGTGAAGACGCCGGTAAGCCATGACCCACGTGGCAAGGTATAGATTTATGGAAATGGATTAATTTAAGATATAAGAACAGTTAGCAAGAAGCCTGCTACAGCCATACAGTTTGTAAGCAATATAAGTCTCTGTGTTTACTTGGTTGGGTCTGAGCAGGTGTGGGACTGGCAGGTGACAGAGATTTGTCCTGACCGTGGGCCAGGCAGGAAAACTCCAGCTACAGTTTTCATCTTTAATTTTGATGTTGTGTGTCTTCTTCCTCTTTCTTGTCAGGCTGGCTAACGTTTGCCAAATGTGTTAACTTTTACAAAGAACCAACTCTTGTCTGGTTGATTTCTGGTGTTGTTGTTTTAGTCTCTGTTTCATTAATTTCTCCCCTAATCTGTTATTTTTTGTCATCTTCTGGGTTGGGGGTTGCTTTCTTGTTGCCTTTGAAGAGCCTTGAGCTGTATCATTAGATTGTTTATTTTAAATTTCTAATATTCTCTCTCTCTCTCTCTCTCTCTCTCTCTCTCTCTCTCTCTCTCTCTCTCTCTCTCTCTCTCTCTCGAGCACTTATAGCTATTAAGGTTCCACTCAGTACTGCATTGGCTGTGTCCCAGGGATTCAGTTAGGTTATATTTTCATTTTCATTTGGCTCTGGGATTTTTAAATTTCCTCTCTAATTTCTTGCAATCCACTATTTATTTGAAAATGCACTGTTAAATCTCCCAGGATTTCTATGGTTTCCCTAGTTTCTCTTGTTGAACCACAAAAGACCATGGGAGTGATTTTATTATAAAAATAAAAATAAAATGAAAGGGAAACAAAGGATGCAAATGAAATTATACCACAATATCTGTATGGACCTAGTGTAATTATAAGGACCTTTATAAAAGACAGGCAACAGGAAGGTCAGTGTCAGAGTCAGGCTATTGGAATGAAACCGTGAGAGACAGGCTTTACATGCAGTTTCCAGCCCTGAGGATGGAAGGGACGCAGAATGCTTGCTGCCTCTACAGAGAAATAAGGGGAGATTATTTTACCTTCGATTGCCCAGAAAGGAAAGCAGCCCCTTTGTCACCCTGGTCTCAGTCTAGTCAAATCCAGTTCACATTTCTGTAAGTTAGTAACTCCGGGCTTCTTAAAGCACTATTAGGAGTTCTTTGTTATGGCAACAAACAGGAAATTCACAGAGCATTTTGATAGTGTGGGAAGTGGACAGTAGTGGAACAAATACCTAAAACTGTGTCTTTGGAGCTGTGCAATAGCAAAGGCTGGATGCACTTGGTAAAGTCAGCTTTTGAAAAGCCTTGATTTTGTTACTAACCGTTTCAAAAGAAATACAAATGTAAATATTGGTAGAGATCTCAGGTAAGAATCATGGTGGAATAAAAACCTGTCATGTTTGAGAACATACATAAACCATCAGGAACAGACTGTGGATACAAACATGAGTGTGAACTGTGGATGGAGATGGAAGTGAGTAAAGTGTTATGGGAAAAGTAAGGGAACAACACCCTTTCTGCACAGTGGTAGAAAGCTCAGTCGAGGTGAACAGCATAGGAGTGTGGGAATAGATGTTGCCTGTTTAGCAGCAGAGTTTTGAAGGTACAGCCTGACTTCTTCCTTTGGAGTGTTGAAGTGTATGATAAAGAGGTGGCCTGAAGCAAGGACTGTGCAACATGGAATTAGATAATTTAAAAAATCCTTAGTCTACTGATGTTATCTCTCTCTGTCTCTGTTTCTCTGTCTTTCTCTGTCTCTGTTTCTCTGTCTCTGCCTGTCTGTCTGTCTGTCTGTCTGTCTGTCTCTCTCTCTCTCTCTCTCTCTCTCTCTCTCTCTCTCTCTCTCTGTGTGTGTGTGTGTGTGTGTGTGTGTGTGTGTGTGTGTGTGTGTGTGTGTGTGTGTGTACATGCCCACAAAGGCCAGAGGAGCATATCAGGTACCCTGTCCTGTTGCTGTATACTTTATTCTCCTGAGATAAGGTCTGTCACAGAAACTGATGCTAAGTTAGTGACCAGAAAACTGCAGTGAGAGCCCTGTTTATGCTTTTATATGTGAGTTCTCAGGATTTTTTTTTTTTTTGAGTTCTCAGGATTTTAACTCAGGTCATCATGATCGAAATATTCTTAACTTCCAGCTGTCTCTCAAGCCCTCTAAGCACTTTTATCTGTGGAGGCATTTTTTCAAGTCCCTCTATTCACATTTTAAAAGGAGCACTATATCATTTATCCTGATAAACATAAAGTCTTTTTGACTTTTGTAACTCTGAGGTATCATATCAATTCTGAAATTGGGAGATGAACTAAATATATTAACATGAAAATTCTGTGTATGTTGAATTTATCTTAAAATCATAGTTATATTGGATGTTTTACCAATATTTGAGCCCTGATAGATTACCTAGATACAGACACTAGTTTTCCTCAGTGTGTATGGGTTTGAGAAGAAGTATGTTGTAGACCCTGATAGACTTAATGCTGCTTAAAGCACTCTCCATGAGTAAAACTTAAAGTGCATTGACTTTGGTAATTGAAACTCAAATATAGGCTTTATACACTAATTTACTGAGGAGCAAGGTGAGTGCGTTCATGACTACTATAAAATCCACATTTGTGAAATATATTTCAAGGCACTTGCAATATTTTCACATAAGATATTCCTCACAAATAAAAGTTGCTAAGAATTCAGCAAAACAAGGCTATGAATCAAAAAGAATCTATAAGAGGATAGCTTTAATTAGGGTCTTATTTTTAGTAGGCTCCCCATA